CACAGGGAAGGAAAGTTACAAGCTTTTTGATAATTTGGCCAAATAGTTTTTAACATCAGCTTTTACAGCTGTTCTACTAAAATACCAACTCAATTTAAAAGAGATGCCGACTTAAAAAAAAATTCATGTGCAAGAGCATGCACAAGAATTTTTTTTTAAGTCGGCATCTCTTTTAAATTGAGTTGGTATTTTAGTAGAACAGCTGTAAAAGCTGATGTTAAAAACTATTTGGCCAAATTATCAAAAAGCTTGTAACTTTCCTTCCCTGTGGTTTATTTTTTGTTACAGTGTAGCAGGTATTTTGTTATCATAACTTTGCGTACATAATAAAATGCCGTGTGATGTAAATACTTCATCGGAGTTTCAAGAGGATACTCATAATCATAAGTTTTTCAAATGTGTGCAAATCTTATTCATGAGCTAATGTGCAACATGTGTCGATGTTCAGTCGTTCTTAGGAGAAATGTTGCAAAGCTGATTCATTATCGTCATGAAGAGATGTCATTTTCAGCTCGGGTTTGATGTCCCTGGCAGCTCATGCCAAGTTCAAAGAAAGTGCCACTTAATTACACTCTGACGTAGAGGACGAGGGAAGGCCGGCTAACCACACTCATAACTCTCTCAGTATATGGCAGAACCACTGTACGGCCCCGCATCCACAAAAAAAGCTATTTGTAACCAGTCCTTAAATAAAACAGCAGGATGGTGGAGCAGGGCAACTTCTTCAGAGTGAGGGAGATGGAAAAGGGCTTAACGGATATAAAAGAAATGGGGAAACTACATTGTAAAGAAGGAAGAATTCCTCAAGTTTATATTTTTATAAAATCCTATTTTTATGACTGCTAAGTTTACATTTATAAAAAAAAATGAGAGAGCAGTACTCACGTGCAAAGAATTGATTGGTCCTCTCGGTCTGTGTAAAGAAAAAGAGAAACCCTCAGTTTATTCTGGTTAAACAACAACAAAATGTTCCTTTTAATGGTTCAGCTTTATTCAACTCTACTCACTAACACAGTGGTGAGATTTCAGATAATCCTGTAAATATTAGTTAAAGTTAACCAAATCAGGGTTTATTCTCCTTTATTTCTAACATGGCATTCTAACACACTGCTTCAAAGTCCAACTAGCTGAATGTGTTGACATTATGTTATATAGCCATTCCTCAGGCCGCCACAGCAAGGCTCGCAGTGCAAAGCCATGCTGTGCTATGACCTTAAGCTGACTGCCAGAGCAGTAACTAAAACTCAGACAGCTTTCAACGCTGGAGACTTCATTCTATGTCCAGATGACAGGCTCAGTGTCAAATAGGTAACCTCTCAACTCCAATACAGTAAATGTTCAGCAAGGACCTGACATGTATATTACATACAGCATGAACTCATTTTAAGTTTTTTTTATTTATTATATTTTTACAATCACAGACTCTGATTAAGAAGTAAAAATGTAGTTCTTCAAGTGTCAATAGATTACATTGAAACTAGGAATATGGCAGATTTTATTTCATAGAGGCAGGCTAACACTTCCTGGTGCATGCTAATGAGATTAAAGCATTTATTTTGCTGAATGCACTCTGCTTGAGTTACTCTGTTTATTCATATAAGCTAAATCAACAAGTCATATCAAATATGACTTCACTGTTGAGGTAAAGTACTCACTTATATTGCAGCAAACTAACTTTAAGCACATTAGGACCACCTAAATTGCAGGAGTGGGAAGGTTAGTGTCTTACTCTCATAAATATATTGAAAACTTGTTGTTAAATTGCAATTATATTGCAAATGTAATTCATCACCGAAGCCTACTGAAAACTAAAGTAAAAACCCTTTAATAAATCCATCACTTTTTTGTTTGTCCAACCAATAGGTGATAAAGTGTGGTGTAATTATTTTTCTAGTGATCTTAGCAAATATTATAACAGCTAAGGGGAAGGATAAAACATATATACACTCAACAAAAATATATGTGCAACACTTTTGGTTTTGCTCCCATTTTTTAAGAGATGAACTCAAAGATCTAAAACAAAATGTCCACATACAAAATATAACCATTCCCCTCAAATATTGTTCACAAACCACTCTAAATCTGTGAAGGAGAGCACTTCTCCTTTGCTAAGATAATCCATCCCACTTCAAAGGAGTGCCATATACATATGCTGATTAGATACGATGATTAGGGCACAGACTGCCCACAATAAAAGGCCACTCTGAATGATTGTTTAATATTTAGTAAATTACCAGCCTCCCAGACCCTCTGCTTTTGACCTGCTGTTACTCCTGACAACCCCATGTCATTCCCTGTCAAGGTCTCGCTGTCTGTCGGCATTTCACAAAAAAAAAGCACAGGTGAAACTTCACAGAATCCTGCGAAATTGTTCCTATAAAAAACTTTTGAATCACCTTGTGGGAAACCATAATTTTTTTTTGGATAAGCCCCAAAATCTCTGAAAAAAAAGGAGTTGACTTTGGTTCATCCAGTTGCAGCTCTGATTCGGCTGGACTTCCCTGTAAATCTACTCCCTCAGAAAGCACTGATGCTGGGCAGTGTGAAATTACAGACCAGGCTCTGTGCTGGAGGTAAGTGAGGACAAGCAGTGTTTTTAGGACTAAAGTGAAACAGCTTTTTTAACGCCACCTAAATACCTCTTGAGTGCATTCTTTATTTCTACCTGTTTTAATATTATTTTGTCTGTATTCCATTGAAAGAGGAAAAAGCTTAGCCTACAACAAGTCCTTAGTTAGGTTGCCGTGTCTCAATTTCATAGAAAAGTTCAGATTTTTCAACTGCGATTACTGCTCCTTTCTCTCAATGCGGTGCTGCTGTTTAACAACCCCTGAGCTCTATCTAGTAGCACGAGGTGAGGCGGAAGGACTGAATGCTCTCACCGCTCGCAGCTTCACCACCCTCCACTGTGTGGTTTGTATAGGGATTCTTTGTAAATCCACCGCACTCTCCATGTTCACCACGTGCTGTGTGAACGCAGCATAATAGTAAAACAAAATATATTTTAAAAAATTTTAAATCAGAGTAGAGCTGTAAACTTCATACTAAATCGAGGTTTCTGAAAGCCTTACATTCTTTAAAAGTATTTGTTAGCCTAATGCTACGTTCACAGCTAAAGCAGCAGAGGCAGCAGAAGCAGCTACTTTACTTGCAAAGTCAATGGTTGACATGCATCTTGGTGCAGCAAAAGGTCCTGCAGTGCGTTTTTTTTTTTGTGCATGACTCCCAGGATTTGCTGGGAAAGCAGCAGCTGCTGGAGTTTGAAAATTGAACTTCTCCTGCTCGATGTGCCACATCAACCAATCAGAGAAGCTGATCTGGGAGCTGGCAGGGAGACAGACACAGCTCTGCTGATGCAGATCGCTGTGATCGCTCCACTGAAACAGTTTATTAACACCTAAATTAACTTAAAATGTCGAAACCTGGTAGCAAAATGTGTTCGCTTTTATTATCCTGGTTCCTGGAGTTTGGATTATGTTCGTGAGAAACACTAACATCTACTTCCACCCACCATGAACAGTAGTAGAAAACCACAAGGAGGCGAGCGGGCCAGAGATTGCTGTTGAACAGGACTCCTTGCACCGTCTGTATACAGGGTTTTGAGCATCTCTGACAGAGAAATAATATTTGAAGGCAGGATCATAAACTTGATGAACTGACTGCATATATTAAGTTTTCAGGTGAACTTTCTCACTTACAAACTACTACTTTTTACCCTCTGATCACAGCAAATTTGACTGCTATCGTTACAGGCAAAGAAAGGATAGAGTAGCTCCGCCCAACGCACATCAGACACACTTATCAACTGCGCAGCCAGAGCAGCAAAGATGCTTCAGCCGTGCGTCAGAACTAAGCTTGTGTAGGCATGAAAAATGAAGCAGCACGCATGATTTAGCTGCTCCTGCTGCTTGCGGTGTGAACGTAACATAACAGGCATTTCCTCACACCTTCCTTATGACAGCCAGTTTTTACAGGTGGCTTAAACAGCTTTAAAGGGTTGTCTTTCATGAGGAAAGTTACCTTTAATTCATGCACTAAAGTATGAACCTCTGTTAAGCAGCAAAGGTTTACTTTGTACCAAGTCAAATTACCCATCAGTCCACATCTGATGATAATTATTAAAGAAAAGTTTCCATTTACATTGAAAGTCTTTTTTTAATGCTAAATGTAAAGTAGATATCTTTAAAAATACTACGAATAAAACATGCAAGCTTGTCGTCTGAATGATGAATGAGCTGCTTATTTAAAGAAGTGATGTTTCCTTCAATAATGAGTCAAAGTTTGATCACTTTTCCAGTTCTTATTCTATTCACTTGCTCTCTACAGGTCTGATGGTTATCATATGTACCAAAGGCACAACTCCCAACGGAGGACTGGGAAACTCACTGTAACCAAACACACACACTCACTGCACAGCTTCTTACTCGCATCGGCTATGAATTACATGATTGAACAGAGGAAGAATTTAATGAGTGACCTCATACTGTGACACTAACACGTGTTCCTAATCTTTAAGGAATGAGGAAAAAGTGAAATCTTGTTTATTTAAAAGATTCAGCCTCAGATATTTTTTTAAAAATCACTAAAAACTTTTAATAGAAATAAAGGAAAAATATAAATCCTCAAATTATCAGTGATATTTCTTATATTTGTCCATCTTTTCATCCCAATCTCAATAATTATCTACTTTATTTTGGTCTGTCATCTAAAATTCAAGTGACATAGGTGTGTTTTTAAACTGTAATGTGACGTTGCTAAAAAGCTAAAAGGATCTGAATAACTTTGCAAACAAACAGCTAAATCCGGTTTACCCAGGGTGCCCTGCTGGCTGGGCGAGCGTCAACCAATAAAACAGAAAATGCTCTTCCCCTCCAGTAGCTTACTGCCGCCTCACTAAATCTCCTCTTCTTTTGTGTTTCACCTTTCCCTCAGTTGCTCTCATTTCCCCCTATTTTTCTTGCCCCATGAATGGTGCAAAGACAAATTACTCCCAAAACTGGAGGTTACAAAAAAGCTCCTTCTTTCCAACAGATGGTTTTAATTTGAGAAGTGTTATTGCTTTTAGCTGCTTTCATATTTCCTTTTACACCTCACACCTAATTATTCAGAGGGTCAAAAGAAACTGATCAACTTTAAAAACATAACTGTATGTAGAATGCTGTACATTTTGTAGATGGTTATAAATGTTGCACAAGCTAATAAAATAAAGCAGATATTATCCAGTGCAGTTCAAAAAGTTTATGTATCGGCTGACATGAATAAATCTGAACTTTTTGTATTTTTTTTGCTCAATAAAACTCTTTTCTGCTAATAATCTTTCTCTCAAAACAATGAATCAAACCCTCATTCTTAAAATTTCAGTGCCTCATCTCTACCTTCCCCTCCACAAAACCCCCCAAAGATTTTCATTGCCCTTATGAACTCCAGCCTACTGCCTCAAAACCCGTTCTACATCAGGGGTCACCAACGTGGTGCCTGTGGGCACCAAGGGGCCCTCAAGGGCCTCATGGGGGGCCCAATGCATCTTCTGAAAACACCACAATTCATCAGTGGGCTAAGAATGAAATATTTGTTTTATTATGTTATCCTTTTTAAATAATTTATAGAGCATTTTGTCATTCTAATCATACAGAGTGTTTAAGTATTTAAATTAGGAGTTAAAAGAAACAATAAAACTTTTTATATTATCTATGAAGCAAAGGTGAATGCTGATCCTTCCTTCCTTCCTTCCTTCCTTCCTTCCTTACTTACTTCCTTACTTACGGTAAACGCTGATCCCTCAAGTTAAGTATTTAAATTAGGAGTTAAAGGAAACAATAAAACTTTTTATATTATCTATGAAGCAAAGGTGAATGCTGATCCTTCCTTCCTTCCTTCCTTCCTTACTTACTTACTTACTTACTTACGGTAAAC